AGGCTGAGAACAGCCAGCGTCCCTGGTGGACAGATAGAGGTCTGGTTGCGCTAGTGACACGCTTGATCAGAACGTGGCTTTTCAAGAGGGTCCTTAATGCCCAGGTTGAGCAAGCTAAGCAAGAGGAGTGCATTCAACTCCATCAGAACGTGCAGAGATTTGGCCCAGTCCTCCTGTGTTTACGACTGGAGTTGGGGAAATCCTAGAATCCTTGTAGAATGGCTTGGGATGGAAGGGAGCTCAAGGATCACCAAGCTCCAAGCCCCCTGCCTCAAGCTGGGCTGCCAACCAAGCTCCACATTTAATGTGGGACTGGACCAGGCTGCCCAGGGCCCCATCCAGTCTGGCCTTGGACTCTTCCAGGGTTGGGGAAAATCCATTTTGGTACGCACTTGCTCATCATGTTCTTCCCGTTTTGAGGTGCTCTGTAGAATGTGTTGTGCTCGGCCTCGTCCAACGGAGCCGAACCTGAGATGAGCTGGTTTCTTCCTTTTGTTGTGCAGTGCCAAAGAAGCGCGGCAAGCTCCTCACCTTCCTTCGTTCCGTGGTGAAGGCCCGCTCAAAGCAACCAAAAGAGCGGGAAGTGGAGAAGGAAAGGGTGTTCGGCCGTGACCTGGGAGAGCATCTTCTGCACTCTGGTCGTGATGGTAAGGGACAGCCCATTCCTGAGAGCTTCCCTGTTTGGGAACCTAAAGATGAAAGGGAGATGGTATCTAGCAAGGGGCAGGTTGATACCAGTGGAGAAATGGGGAATGGGAGTTGATGGCTGAAAGATGAAGTGAGGCTAATGCTCCCAAGAGACAAGCACGTTTGTATTTGCTTCAGCCAAGCCCGGCTGGGCTTAGTGGATGGGATGTGACGGGAGCGCAGCCTGAGGCAGGACTTGACTAAGGAGCTCCAGTAACCGCCGGCACGTGTTCTTTAGTCCCCCAGGTCCTCCAGAGCTGCGCCGAGTTCATCGAGCAGCATGGCGTGGTGCAGGGGATATACCGCCTGTCCGGCGTGGCGTCCAACGTCCAGAGACTGCGGTAAGAGTGCTGCGACTGACAGACACAGCTGCCAGCAGGGGCACGTGCCCTGTTGCGGGCGTTCAGAGGCCTGCGGGCAATGCCTTAGCACAGAGAAAAGGTCTCCTTTGGGAACATCCCATCCAGCACGGCTGACGTGGTGCTGGTGGCCGAGTGTTTGTGTTCTCCTGTACATCAGGAAGCCCTTCTGATTCTTGATTGCATTGGGTGTGGCTTTTGACTTGCTTTCCTCTTTCTCAACCACTTTCGTGTCCTTCTCTGCAGCCAGGAATTTGAGTCTGAGCAGGTTCCTGAGCTAACTGTCCGCGACGTTCACAGCGCGAGCTCCCTCTGCAAAATGTACTTCAGGGAGCTCCCGAACCCCCTGCTGACCGACCAGCTGTACGACAAGTTCTCGGTAAGCACGAGGCAACGCCTTTCCTTTACCTCTTCCCTGGGCCTCTTGGGAGATGGCTGCAGCAGTGCCCCAGCTCTGAGGCCCTTCTTCTGTTAGCCCCACGGGGTTTACTCGCATGTCTTTGCCACATCCTGCATCGTGCTGATGCCACTTCTGGTGGTCCCTGGAGGTGGTTATTTCCATATTCATAATGCTTGCGAGAATTCCTGCATTGTTGTTTTTTCTTGGTTTTTTTGTTGTTTTTTCTTTTTCTATTCCCCAACTATTTCTGGAATGGGAATGGGATTAATAGCCAAGGGTACTTGGAGATGAATGCCCCCTGCGAGGAGCTGAGCTGCCCAACCAGGCTGTAAACCGGCCCGGAGCTTGGACTCCTTCGCCTTGGTGGCACCAGCTGCGTGCCGCTGTGTTCCCCAGAGGCCTCTTGGAAGGCCTAAAATCTGTCCCTGTGTTGACCAGCAGCGTGCTGTCCCCATGGTTCCTGACTCTGCGGCAGGTATGTCGCCTGATTTGTGTCTCAATTCCTTTCTGCCCTTTTCCAGGATGCTGTTGGTGCCACTACGGAAGAGGAGCGGCTGGTCAGAATGCGGGACGCCATCCAGCAGCTGTCTGCTCCTCACTACAGGTCAGTGCTGCCCTCAGCCTGCTGAGCTCAGCCCTGCTGCACTTTAGAGGGCAATGGTGCGATTCCAGGCTTTGTCTCACGCGAGCAACACGATGCCTGGGTGTGCTGAAGCGGTTGAAGGCTACACGGGGTTAATTTGTGGGGTGAGTTCCTGGGCACAGGGGCACGCTTGGTGCAGCTGATGGCTGCGGCTGTGCTGTGCTGGGGCTTGGTGCTGCAGCGTGGCACTTGGTCAAGTTGGATCTACTTCATCTTCAGTGACAGTAGCAATAATAGCAACTAGCACGAAGTGAGGTTTGCTTTGTGAGTCGCAGCACGGCATGCTGGCTGGTGCTGAACATTTGCCGCTCTTGTTTCCCAGGACCCTGGCGTATCTGATGAGACACTTGGCCTGTCTGGCTGGGCACTGCTCCACCACAAACATGCATGCGAAGAACTTAGCGATTGTGTGGGCTCCAAACCTCTTAAGGTGAACTTCTTTTTCCGTTTCTACAGAACGCTTACATCTGTTCTCGAGTAAAATAAAGCAATCCTCCCTTCTGCACCACATGTGCTCTTCTCCTGTAAAATCTGCAGTGAGTGGCTGACAGCAGAGCAGGAGCCTGGACTGTTCTCCAACCCCACGTGGGCACAATTTCTAGCTGAGCATTGCTGCTCTCTTGTTTAGATGGGACTGGTGTGTCCTTGATCAGCCAGGAGAACTTCTTCAGTGGCATCACTGATTGCCCACTGCGGAAGTCTCCGGAGCCCAGTTTGACAGCTTTGGGCTGTAACAGTTCAGACCCGGGGAAGCGATCTTGGCTGAATGACTTCTAAAACCTGCCTTTTCTACAGATCACAGCAGAGCGAGTCTGCCTGCGCCAGCGGGAGGGCTGCCTGCATGGAACTGCAGACGCAGTCGGCTGTGGTGGAATTCATCATTGACCACACAGACGTCCTCTTCTGCTCCACATCTGGACCTGACATCGCAGATGGAGCAGGTGAGTGTCTTCCTCCATTAGCTTTATCTTGGTCAGACACCTGGATCAAATGCAGGCCTTCTCCAACTCCTTTGAAATACACTTTTACTATCGAGGGGACAGCAGACTTCTGGGCTTAGATTGGAATATGGCGTCCAGTTGCTGGATGCTGAGAATGTGCAAGCCCAAACGTGACAAGGAGAAAACTGTCACTGTCATTATGATGTTTTGCAAGCAGGTGAAGCTTGGTGAAAGTGTGGCAGCGAAGCTTTCTCAGTTCCCTGCCCCCATTTTCTAGGGATTTTGTTTGCCTGTTTTGATACAGGGAGCTGCTCCTAATTATGACTGCGTCCTTTGCCATAGACACACCTCTGAGCACATGGTTATTTTGAGCTGCTCTTCTTCCAGTGGCTCGGTTAAGCAAGTCTGAGGAAAACACAGCACCTCCCGGACCTGTGATGGCTGTGCTGCTGCTTTCTGATCCTGGCTCTCACCTGTGGTTTTCCCTTCCAGGGCACAGTTCTCTCTCAGGGCCCCAGTCTGTGCAGGCGTCTTCTCCTGCCACAGAGCTGCTCAGCCTGGAGGAGGCGCAGGCACGGAGGCAAGGCCACAGCAGCTCTCCTGTCGTTGTGACACAGAGCAGGGACATGGAAGTGGAAGAAGGCCCCACAGCTGTACGGGGGAAATTCCACACAGTCATTGACTTTCCATCTGAAAGGTAAAGAGGACTTCCTTTTCCAGTACCTTATCATCATTGTTTGGGTGGGTTTTTGTGGTTTCTTTTTGTGTTGTTTTCCCCCCCCATTATTTCTAGAGCCAAAGCTTGCTGAGACCAAGTTAAAGTGACGGTGCCTGAAGTGTTGCAGTGAATCTCCACTCCCTTTGCACTGTGCGACAGAACTCACATTCAGTTGCCCGCTGGGTTGAGTTTAGCCACACAAGGCTGGCATTCCCTCCTTGCTGGGCAGGCAGTCACGAGATGCATAAAGCCACGCTGACGTCTGTCCTGGCCTATGCTGGCTGTACCTGGAAACGTTGGGGTTTTCCGGACTTCAGGGCCACGTGCCTGAATCCAATTCCAGTTCTCCTGGAAGCAGAGCTGTTGGTCAGACCTGCTGGCACGAGAAACTAGACATGGCAGTGAGATGGGGCCGATGAGCTGTCAGTGTCAGAGTCAGAGATGCTTTTGGAGTTCCACGCACAACTCACACCATTCCCTGTTTCCTCTCTCCAGACCAAGTCCACCCAGCAGGATGAAGGAGTCACCGTCTGGCTGTTGGTGTTCCTGCTTCAGCCTGGGGAAACCATCCTCTGTGGCCAAAGACCAACGGCAGCACCATCCCAGGGAGCCCTCAGAGACAGACATTGTAGTGCTGGCAGGTAAGGGTGCAAATCCTGCTTTCAACACCCTGCTTCTCAGCAACGTAGAATTCTTGCTGTCAGTGGGCTTGTATCTCCTTCTAGCGATCCAGCCCATACCTGACACCTTCAGTTCTCCCCTGATCAAGAACCACTTTTGTAATTCAGCTTGTGAGAGTTTGACACCAACCCCTGTTCATTCTTCTATAGGTGATTCGAGCTCTTGTCAACCCAGATGTGCCAGAGCAAGTAGCGATGCTGGGCTGTGTGCTTCCACCAATGGAGAGCTGTTAGGAAGCACAAATGGCTGCGGTTCAGATGACAGCCTGCCGCATAACAACAGTGGCGGACACAAGGAGCTCATCCAAGTCCAAGCCCTCGTTTCTCCCGGCTCTGCTGAAGATGCTGACCTGAGCCTGTCACACACCACAGGCACCAGCCCGGACTGTGACCCGGTGCCTCTGCAGTGCAGCCCAGCCCAAGCACAGCCTGAGTGCCCCGAAAGCAGCACCTCTGTGCAGGAGCAGGTCAGCAACAGCGAGGAGAAGCCGTGCCTCTTGGAGGGGGACTTAGAATCAGGCCTCCAGTCCCAGGCACCGTGCAGCTGCTCTGAGAGCTCTGAGCCGCTCTCTCCGTGACCTTTCCATCCAAGAGAGGACGATTCCCATCTTTACCTGGACCTCTCACGCCCTCCTGTCTTTTCCTTTAATAATAAAAGCACACTTGTGCTCACTCAACGCCTTGACTGCCTGTGGCGTCTTCATTCACGAGGATTGGGATGAATGCAACAAACAATGAGGCACCTCAGCTTGCAACGCTGAGGCTGTGGGGTGCACGAAGCAGAACTCGGGGTTAGTTCCCGTTTTGTCTGGCTTTGGGGTGTCTGCAGCTCCCATCTGGTACGGTAGCAAATAATCTCTAGCATCCTGGATGCTGCTCGTGATAACCCCAAGCTTCCTGGCGGTGGCTTTGTGATGCCTTTCAGGGCTTTTGGATGCCTTGTGATGCCTTGGCTGCTCCCTAACACCTCTCTCCTCCAGCCGCGTCCATTCCTGGCTCCCAACCTCCGGGCTGCCTGTGCAGATCATCTGCAGCCCTGCCATCATCACACTGCGGGACGAGCTCACTCAGACCCGGCGTCTCATTGCTCAGCGTCAGCGCTGTCCCGCCCCTGGCAGCCTCTCATTGGTTAGTGGCAGCGCTACTTCCTCCCCCGGGGTCTCCTTGATCCGCAGTAGCTCCGCCGGCTGCGATTGGCTGAGCCGCCGTGCGCGGGAGCGGTCGTTGGGGGCCGGCTGTTGGAGGCGCGGCAGGGCTGTTGCTGTCCGGGCAGCAGCGAGATGGAAGCTGCAGCACAACGGGAGCGAGTGCTGAGGGCAGCTCCACCAGAGATTTGTGGGAGAGCGGTCCCGGGACAGGGAGAGGAGCCCTGCGCGGCCCCAAGCAAGGGGAGATGGCCATAAAGTGGAGCACAGGAAGTTCCGCCCATGGATGAGAAGGGAGTTCTTCACAGTGAGAGTGGCGCAGCTCTGGAACAGGCTGCCCAGGGAGGCTGTGGCTTCTCCTTGTCTGGAGATATTCGAGAACCGCCTGGACGCCCACCTGCGCAGCCTGCTGTAGGAGCCCGTTTTGCAGGGGGTTGGACTCGGTGATCCCTGGAGGTCCTTCCAGGCCCAGTTCTGTGATTCTGTGATTTTAATCCTTGCTTCTTGCAGCAGTATGGTGTTTGGTGTTTCAGAAGAGAGAAAAGCACGGCGGGCATCAGCTGGATTTCTGTGGCTGGTAAAGCTGTGCTGAGAACTGGGCTGACTGCTGCCCCTGGCAATGTGTTCAAAGTCTGCAGAGGCAGAGGAATAACTTTTCTCTCAAAAGTTGAGCTTGTCTAAGGTAAGTCACTGCTGGGAGAGCTTCTGCTTTAAAGCATCAGGTTGTATAAGTAAGGTAATTTAAAAAGCAAGCTTGACAGTTCTTTTTTACCTAAGTGGTTTTTTAGCAGGGGAAGGTTGGAGAGGCTGTTTGCTAACGGAAGATGGAGAGAGGAAAAGCAAGTGAAAGGCACGCT